AGAAGGGGAAAAATGTATGGGTAAGGTATGGGAGAATAAGAATAGATGGACAGTGGTGGAAGTGGGATGAGGAGGAGGAGGTGTTAAAAAGATAGAAAGGGTAACATAAAAGTAGGAGGACAGGGGGAAGGGGGAGGGAGGAAGAGGGGAACACAGGATAAAGGAAAAAAGAGAAAGTGGTAAAAAGGGGAAGCGGGAGGAAGCGGAGGAGAAGGAGTGGAGAATAGGGTTCTGGAATGTGGCAGGAGTGAGAAATAAAGATAGAGAATTCTGGGAAGATTAAAGAATTGGGAAGTAATAATACTAGTAGAAACATGGATGGACAAGAAAGGGTGGAGGATGGTGAAAGAAAAGTTACCAAGAGGTTACGAATAAGGAGTACAAGTAGCCGAAAAAAAGAATAAAAAAGAAAGGGCGATGGGGGGAATGATAATGGGAATAAAAAAGGAGATGATGGAAAAAGGAAAAAAAAAATAGAAACGGAAAGAGAAGGGCTGATAATAGAAAGAATAAGAAAGAGGAAACAGAGGGCTTGTTCGTTTTAGCTACACTGGGGCTGCTCTGGGTCTGCTCTACACAGGATAATACAGGACAGATAAATAGTTTGTCCTGTATTATCTTGTTTAGAGCAGACCCAGAGCTGCCCCAGTGCAGCTAAAACGAACAAGCCCAGAAATAGAGAATAGTGGGGGTATACGTTAATGGAAATATGGAGGAAATGCTACAAAGCATGGAACAGTGGGTGGGGGAGAAGGAGATGGAGTTAAACACAATAATTGGGGGGAATTTTAATGCAAGAACGGGGGTGGAGGGAGGAGGTATAAAAAATAAGAGAAGAGGGGAAGGATGGAATAGGAAGGGGGGAAAGAAGGAGAAGAAAATCAAAGGATGGGAAAATTAATAGAGAAGGAAAAGTAATGGTGGAGTTCCTGGAGGAAAGAGGGTGGGGAATACTGAATGAATGCACAGAAAGAGAGGAGAAAGGGGAGTTCACGTTTATAGGGGGAAAAGGAACACGGTGATAGACTATGTAATAGCAGATGAGGACACGAGGGAAAAAAATAAAAAGTTTAAGAATAGGGGACAAAATAGACTCAGACCATCAACCATTGGAGGTATGGGTGAAGGGGGAGAGACAAGAAAAAAAAGGAGGAGGAGCGAGAGCAGGGGAGAAGGAAGAATATGGAGAGGAATAAAGAGGGGTGCAAAGAATTCAAACAAAGGATGGAGGGGATAAAATTGGGGGAGAAAGAAATAGGAGTAGAATGGGAAGGGATGGAGAGGGAGATGAAAGAGGCGATAAGGAAAGTAGAGAGGAACTTGGGGAAAGAGGAGGGGAAGAAGGGAGGATGGTGGGACAGAGATTGTGAAGAGAAGAAGAAGGAGGTAAGAAGGGAACTAAGAGGATGGAGAAGTAAAGGGGGAGAAAAAAAGGAGTACAAAGAAAAAAGAAAAGACTACAAGGAATTATGTGAAAGAAAGAGGAAGGAAGAAAATGAAAAGTGGGAAAAAAGAGCAAGGAAGGTAAAAAGGGAAAATGAAGTGTGGGAAATAATAAATAGAGAGAGGAAAAGAAGGGTAAGGATAAATGATGGGATAGGGATGGAGGAATGGAAGGAGTACTTTATGAAGTTAGTTAGGGGGGGCAGGAAAGGAAGTAGTAAAAG